ATTCTATTTAACTGTTACTTAGTGAGAGAGAGAGAGAGAGAGCATAACTGTGATGCTAGATCTTTAGACTTACGGCTGCACACACACAACACTGTGTTACACCATTAATACATGGTATGTATTAATATGATGTGAACACCAAGTACATCATTGTATGCTCTACATCACCAATGAAAGCAGGAGTTGACATAACTTTTAACCATCACACTTTTACAGTTCTCTATTCTAGAGTAATCACACTACAATCATGACTAGTCTCGTACTAGCTAGTTTGCAAGTGCCTACCTCCACCTGGATCAGAATGATGAGGGTTTAGAGAGCTGAAATGTGAGTTTCCAACCCCAGAAACGGAGCCGCTGAAGGCAATGGACTCTGAATGTAAAAGTACAAAGTAAAAAAAAAAAAAAAAGAAGCAGGGCCAAGGTCTTAGTGTCATTTTCAGCCATGCAACAGCGCCATCACTCTCTCACGCAATGCATCAATAATCGAAGCTGATTCATTACATCATCATGTAACATGTCTGTCTGTACAGATGGACTCACTAACGGTCCTACGACACACACACACACACACACACACACACACACACACACACACACACACTCTTCAGCGAGCGAGTGTCCAGTCCCTGCTCGCCTGCTCGGACACATTTTTAGGTGTCTTCCACACAAATGTATTTGCATATAATGAGATCATTTGTCACTTGTATTAATGTAGCCAGAGAAATTATAACAATAATGTTTAATGCCACTTGTCAGTCTCGGCATTCTCATCATTTATTACCGGAGTGCTGGACATTGATTTAGCTCCACACTAATGAAGCCGTTGTTATTCAGGACCAGTTAACGTGTTTTTTTTCCAGAACACCTAATGGTGGCAGGAGGAGTGAGAGCATGGATCTTATTAATATGTTACATGATCTTCCAGACATGATCCAATCCCTCTCAGTCGAAGGGCAAGTTCAATCCTTATAAAAAAATGAAAGGATTTTAATAGACGGGCGTGATATGAGGATGGTGGACAGATAGGATTGCGGTTGATCGAGTGCAGTACGTCTGTGCCTGTGAGTTTGCATACACTTGCCTGTCCGCATGTGTCTGCTAGTCCTTTATTGAGGCTATTCTACAGCTCTGGGAAGATGACATCATGCGGGGTCATGGTGGCTGGATTGGTGGCTGTATGACCGGGTTTTAGGATTTGGTTTGTGTGACCTCCCCTCCCCCTTCGCCAAACGCCCATCTGTCAGCCGACCAATGGGCTGCGGGCTCTGTGGATCAGAATCTCTTGCCAATAGATCGCTAATCCTCATCTGAGCATGCTCAGTGACTTAACTGGGACAGGGACATGACAAAGGGTGCAACTACTATGACATGCTGTCCAACCCATAAGTCCTGCTGTAACGTGCACAAGGATGCATTTGATCCGGCAGCACAGACTACAGTCAAAATCTTATTATTGACCTTATTGTAAAATCCACAATACATACCTAAACCGGGATTTGCATTTTCAGATTCCTGATTCCTGGGAAAAGTAATAATGCTGAAAATATGATTCATATAACTAACTTTTATGTGGAGGAAAATAAACTCCCAGGCTGCTTAAAAACTTTTCTACACAGTTCACATCAAGTGTAAAGTTTTCTCTGCACGTATTGCTGTTAATAATATTAAAAAATAATATACACGCTTTGAATGCATATTTAAATGCAGTTGAGAGCCAGAGAAAATAACTGAGATTACAGATGATTAATATTCAAGATAATTTGTCATTATGTGATCTAGTTTTTAAAGTCACAGGACCTTCAGCCTCACAATAAGATAAAGCCTGTGTGTGTGTGTGTGTGTGTGTGTGTGTGTGTGTGTGTGTGTGTACATGAACAAACAGTAATGGCGGCCGCTCTGTGAGAATAGAACCTAAGACCTCAGATCCCCGGGAGAAGGAGGGGATGAAGATGATTTATGTGTTTCACTGAACTGCGCCACACGCCCGCCAGAACTCCACACTGCACGCATGCGCGCACACACACACACACACACACACACACACACACACACACACACACAC